AATGCTTGTAGTAACTGGAATGTGATTTCAATTATCTGACGGTAATGCTCAAATAGATCGAATATATTATCTTCCCTTGAACACATTACTGTTGGATCCAGGCAGTTATAAAAACTGCACTTTTTGTCATACAAAAAGAGCAAACAATAAATAAAATATGCTATGAAATTGGCTACTACATTTCAATGTCAATACATTGTTTGCTCTCTGTGGTTCGAAATTCTGCCGGTTCGTTTTGTGATTAAGTAATATCCATTGTATTTTATATCAGTATACATTAACCAGAAATAATTGGAATTGCCAGATATTTAGAAACATTACAACTTCAATATTGCCAATATCAACTAGTGACCGACTAACATAATAACATAAATACGCTTCAATAATGCATAATAGATGCAAATACCATTTCGATTTTAAATCATTCATATCCGGCCAACAAAAGTGATTAATATAAGTTGAAATAACTTGATTTATAATTGTTTTAAATAAATATAGTTTAAATTTAAAGTTCCGATAGTTTCCATCTAGGTTTTTATAATTAAACTTGAATTTTAACAAATATTATTTTTTGATTTTGCAGATAAAACTGTTACGTTAAATGTTTTGTTGATAGGTACTTGTTCGTTTCCTCTTCATTTAGTTTTGAAATATCGGTTAATAAGCTTGTAAAAAAGTTTTTCTATTTTGTTATTTTCTGTGAAATACATTCAATGTGTTTAAACATGTCTTTGAACATTTTCCATAATTTATCTGGGTATTTCTTTTTTTTTTTTTTTTTTTTTTTTTTTTTTGTTTTTTTTTTTTTTTTTTTTTTTTTTTTTAATTTTTAGGTTGAAACGATATCCTTTCGATAGCTTTCCCGTGTAGTTTGGATGGGTTTTATATTGATATTTATACCCCACACAAGAAGTATCTGGAAGTATCTTCCTGCATGCTAAAATGATAGTTGAAATCCGGAAGAAACTAGAAAAACCCTAAAAAACTTATGATGGGAAACCAGTAATGTTGTGTTATATAAGTTTAATCGAAAAATTCATTCAATAGTTTTTATCAGACAACATTGACTTGACCAGAGGGACTTAGTATAGTCATGACTACTCTACGCTTTAGGGAGGCCCTCTTCTTTCTCTGCCAGGTAACTGTCCCAGGACTGTCAGTTTGTTTCCGATCGTCTTCTGTCAAGACACAGTTTCATACTACGATAATAGCTAATTCATTTACTATCATATTTAGGTCATTTAGTATTTCTAATTTTAATTCACACTTTAGTTCACAAGAGGTATGACACATCATCCTACTGTTTGGGTGATAGGAAATCCTTACTTTTTAAAACAAGGTTATATATAAAAAAAATACTGCTTATGTGAAATTAATCTTTGGTATAGTTAAGTATTATATATATATATATAATATTACAGCTGGAGTAGTGTTTCCATCTCCTCTAAAGAAATCACACATAGAAACGTCATGAAGTATTTTATATATCTTAAATTTGACAAATGATATTTTGACAGGCGATATTATGCGGAAAGATATTTTCTACGAAATATTTGAAAAAGTTTACTTGGAGATATATTAATGAAAGATTTTTGATGGGAAATATTTTAAAGGGATATTTTTTAAGGGAGAAATACTATATTTTGTTAGAAGACATTTTAACGGCAGATGATTTGAAGGGGAACATTTTGATAGAAAATATTTCTAAGGAAGCGATTTTTACGGGTGTCATTTTTCCAGAGGAAAAACTTATTCCTCCGGGTTTCATTTTAATTTCCTGAATATTCCTTTAGTGGATGTTCTTAGTAATGTTTTTCTTCTGCTTTTATTGTTTTTCGATTCCGGTAATAATTTAAATGTTTCGACCTTGAGATCCTATTTATATTGACCCGAAGTATATTTCCTTTTTATCATCTTTACGGCTAAATCAAAATTCACTCTTGCTACCTCTGATTTATAACCCTTCTACATTAAAAACGATATTAAAACTGATACGCAAACATACTGTATCCAGTGTTGAATTGAATTAGCCTATTCTCCCACAACAAAACATGCTTTATAAGCATGACCAGCTTATGATCTTTAAAAAAAAAAAAAATCTCTGAAAAAAATAAATATGAAAGTAACAACTAAAAATTCACGCTTAAGAATCAAAATGATTGTAATCGGTCATTAAACGTATAATAGTTTAAATGATTTTCTAAATTTTAATGAAAATTAACTCTGAACACTTTTATGAACGTTTTTCGTTGATGATAAAGCTTTAAGTAGGCTCTCGGGTTGCTAGATGGGTTAAGGTAACCTAGACTTTACCTGTCTGTATGTAGGGCATGCTTATTCAACCGTGTGAATCAAGAAGTAGCTGAAGCAGGTGACGTTTATAGTTTGAGTTATTGTTCAGAGAGATTTATCAGGTACATGGCCTGCCCGCTACCTATTTGATATCAGTGGATTGACGAAATGAACATCTCGCTTGATTATCTGGATGATATAATCTCCCAACTGTGTATTTATTGCTAGTAATGATCAAAGTAACATGATGAAATACTGTTTTTGTTTTAAATGCATTGGTTTTTTTACGAATCGCTGTGTAAGCTGATCCCATTTTGGGTTAAATTGATGCAAATCCCTCGGTACTAATGTTTAAATGCATATAAAGGTCATAATCTTTTGAACTCATTGGCCTTTATATGCATTTAAACACTAGTACCGAGGGATTTGCATCTTGTGCTTTTTCTATAATTACATCTATCTGTGTTTGTTTTATGTGCTATATTATAAATTGAATCAGCGAACATTTACAATGAAATCTTTTCAATATAGGTCCTGTACTATTCTCAACTGTCTCGCAATACACATACATTGTCAGAGGTTCTATTATTCCCTTTATATATCAGGTGTGACACTGATAATTTAACATGAAATTGAATAAAGTGAATTGATAATTTTTATTTTCTTCCTTTATAGATGACGTCACTGGTTGTTGTTTGTGTGGGACGCGTTCCAATATGTAGAGAGCCGAGCTCAGAGAGGATGAAAAATTTGACACAGATGTTGCTACTAGGAAGCAATCGTTGGCTGACATATGACGCCGTCAATGTCAGATCTAAGGCAGTACTTGAAGTTATGCCGTAAGTATTGCTAGCATAAAACATATATCATTTACATATTCAAAACGAGATTATCAAGACAAGTATAGAATAATTACACAAAGTGATAATTTAACTCTTTGATATATGAGTATATTTCAATGAAACAGTGAAGGAGAAAACTATACAGATGTGAAATGTAGAACATATCGGTAGAGCAAGAATGCTCCTTGCGCCACTCAAAATAATGTCATTGTTTAGCAAATTTCTACAAATATTTATATTGAGACATTGGTCTTAATCCTAGAACTCGGAAATGCGGACACGTTCGTGATATTCTCATATTTATCCTTTGCATAATGATCTACTGTCAGAGTGATGCCAACTCTAAAATACGAACTCGTTCGAGATATCTTGACCTTGGTATAAAGTTTGACCTAAATACGCTCAGAACTCTAGACGATAAGAACTTCTCATTAGCCCCCAACTTAAGCGGCATGGACCTTAAAATATTATTAAAAATAATTGCATAATCACTAATCGATAAGTTAAACACTCAAATTTCAAGTATATCACAATAAGACACATGCTATCGCTATAAAGCGTTTCTATTGATCTTTTATAAAGAAAACATCAAAATTGATAACACTGTTTTCATAATGTTCAATATATTTAAGAAGGCAATTCAGAAATTAATTGACAGAAATGTACTTATGGAAAGCTTGTATTTCTTATCCTGACACAAACAAACAAAAAGTTAGAAGTGAAATTTTATTTACAGTCGGCAGTTTTGTATACTAGTATGGCGTTAAATAATCAATGTCTTTAATTGCGGATTAATCCATCTATGCTGAATGTATAAAAGTCATAATATGGCAACGTATCAAATTTCTCATATTCAGGTCAAAGATTACTGGTGACATTTCCACCAACTGTCCACAAAATACCAACTCAACATGTCCCACCTATATGGTAAAGGAAACAGTTCCAACGAGAATACCTTCTGTCATTATGCATGCACGCTGCGCGTGTGATCAGTGTCAAATATCCGGATTGCGAGGAAAGAACAAACAGAGGTATATGTGTGAGCCTTTGCACCGCTTCCTTCCGGTGTTAAAGAGACAGGATGTGTGTGTGAATGGGGAATACGACTACGTCATTGTTCAGCAGAGAGTGGCCGTGTCCTGTCACTGTGTCCGCAAACCAATAACGAAGAAGGGTAGAAAAAAAGGCAGGAAGAGTAAATCAAAAAAGCAGAAAATATCTACAAATCATAAAAGTCCGAAAAACTTTTCCAAATGATTGTTGACCTTCTTAGCGTGTACTGACTTAATGTTTTAATTTATTAAAAGATGGTTACGGTGATCTGTTGTTTATTATTTCTTGAAATAATATTGGATTGTTCTTGTTTCCCTTTCGTTCCATTACAAATGCTCTCCGATTGAAGTTGTATTTAGAGTTGTATTAGTAAGCGTATATCACTCAATGATTGTGATACAAAGTGTGTAGACCCAAATATTTTGCTAAAGCAATAGTCCTAACACCTTATTGTTAACAATAGGAATGTTTTAAAGATGAACTCATAACAAATGAAAAAAGTGCCGTTAATTTTCTGATGTTCGTTATAATGTTATTGGTAATTGTGTTTCACTCTACTAGCTTCACAATATATTCAGAACAGTGACTGCAAAAGCTGTTCACATTCAGTGATTGCACTATCTCAGCAACTGTGATATCGTGTTCACTAATCTTCAACAAGTTATAAATACATGTGTAATAAACCTTTCTTTGATGTACGTATTTACTGCGTGTGTAATATATCTACCTGTGACAAAACTAGTAAATACATGTGTAATACACATATCTGTGACACATGTAGTAAACACATTTGTCATAGACCTATCTGTGACACATGTAGTAAATACATTTGCCATAGACCTATCTGTGACACATGTCGTAAATACATTTGTCATAGACCTATCTGTGACACATGTAGTAAATACATTTGTCATAGACCTATCTGTGACACATGTAGTAACTACATTTGTCATAGACCTATCTGTGACACATGTAGTAAATACATTTGTCATAGACCTATCTGTGACACATTTAGTAAATACATTTGTCATAAACCTATCTGTAACACATGTAGCAGATACATGTGTCATACACATTTCTGTGACCTAATTAGAGGAAACATGGGTAATATACCTATATCTGCCATTTGTTGTAGAAACATATTATTTGACTTTTTTCGGAAGATAGATTTGTAATAAACATTTCTGTTACACATGTAGTAAATCTTTGTGTTATACACCTTTCTTAGGTGTATGTAGTTAATGCGTGTGTAATATACGAATATGTGACACATTTACATGCATATGTGACAAATGTAGTATATACATTTGTCTTACACGTATCTGTGACACATATAGAAGAAACATGAACTAAAACAAAGTCTTACATTATGAGATACCTCTTGTTTACGAAGTGGCTTCAAACGAATATGAATTTAAAAAAAGAATAAAACAATTTTGTCTTAAATATTTTCAACAGTATCATTTTCGCAAATGACTTGTTTTGAAAACATCTTTATAGCATCTCATCTTAAACATTTATCACGATTGATACATTTGGAAACCAGTCCTTAATAAAAAAGGCAAAATGTAAAAAGTCATAGATCGATGCTAACGATAATGTGAGGAAGGCTCATTTTGCTAAATACCATTCTACTACCAAGATAATTCACCATGTTGTAAGTCTTCCCGTATGATCAGTGATTATAAACGTAAAAAATGTGTTGAACATTGTTTAAGAATATTTTGACAAACTATCAGCTTTCCACTAAAAACGAAAACTGAATCATGTTAGTAAATCAGTTTTCGTATTTTTATAAAAATGCCATTTAGGAAGGGATAAATGAGTAGTTAAAAAGTCATGTTTGGTTCAATACCTACTTGTAACGATAAACTCTTTAGTCTGCAAAAGATTGAATGTATTTTTTTTTGAAAAATAACATTTGACGATTTATAGTTGGGGGCAAACTTAACTTGGTTCAGCCTGGTGTACTGGAATTAACAAGGAAAGAGATTTCTAGTGCTGTGCACTAGATTAAAAAAGCATGTGCACTAAAGCTCAGAACCTTATCTACTAGAGTTAAAAAGCTTATGTACTAGGGTTAACAAGCCTGTGCACTAGAGTAAACAAGCTTGTACACTAGAGTTAAAAAGCTTGTAAACTAGAGTTAACAAGCTTGTACACTAGAGTTAACAAGCCTGTGCACTAGTGTTAACAAGCTTGTAAACTAGAGTTAACAAGCTTGTACAATAGAGTTAGCAAGCATGTGCACTAGAGTTAATAAGCTTGTACACTAGAGTTAACAAGCCTGTGCACTAGAGTTAACAAGCTGGTGCACTAGAGTTAACAAGTTTGTGCACTAGAGTCAACAATCTTGTACACTAGAGTTACATTGTAGCAGGCCTGTGAACTAGAGTTAACAAGCTTGTACACTAGAGTTAACAAGCCTATACATTAGAGTTAACAAGCCTGTGCACTAGAGTTAACCAGCTTGTACACAAGGGTTAACAAGCTTGTACACAACAGTTAACAAGTCTATGCACTAGAGCCAACTAGCTTGTGCACTAGATTTAAAAAGCCTGTAAACTAGAGTTAACAAGTCTGTCCACTAGAATTAATAAGCTTGTACACTAGGGTTAACAAGCTTGTGCATTAGAGTTAACAAGTCTGTACACTAGGGTTAACAAGTGTGTACACTAGAGCTAACAAACCTATGCACTAGAGTTAACAAGTTTGTGCACTAGAGTTAACAAGCTTGTACACTAGTGTTACATTGTAACAGGTCTGTGAACTAGAGTTAACAAGCTTGTACACTAGGGTTAACAAGTGTGTACACTAGAGTTAACAAGCCTATGCATTAGAGTTAACAAGCCTGTGAACTAGAGTTAACAAGTTTGTGCACTAGAGTCAACAATCTTGTACACTACAGTTACATTGTAGCAGGTCTGTGAACTAGAGTTAACAAGCTTGTACACTAGAGTTAACAAGCCTGTGCACTAGAGTTAACAAGCTTGTACACAAGGGTTAACAAGCTTGTACACAAGAGTTGCCAAGTCTATGCACTAGAGCTAACTAGCTTGTGCACTAGATTTAACAAGCCTGTAAACTAGAGTTAACAAGTCTGTACACTACAATTAATAAGCTTGTACACTAGGGTTAACAAGCTTGTGCATTAGAGTTAACAAGTCTGTACACTAGGGTTAACAAGTGTGTACACTAGAG